ACCGTGCGTGGAAGCTAAGCTGAAAATAGAACCCAAAACATAAGTTTATAGGTTACCCGGTAACCGACTCAAGAAACATTCGGTTTGACTAACTAGTATAAAAGGCAAGCAGGGTAGATTAGATTAATCTAGCCAGGACGAAAATTAAAATCAAAACAGCAACAAAAAGAAAAGAGAAGAGGGAGCGAGAGAGAGAGAGGGAACCGAAGGGAGCTAAAGGGAGTTTCAGTGTTCAATTTCGGCGTTGCCGTAAACGGGCCGCTGTATCAATAGCTAATTTGATGCTTACTTCGGTTATGAAAGTCCTTGTTTAATTATTGTTTCCTGTAGTTTGACAACAAGTAGCGAGTTTTAAAGTTAAGACGCAAGACAACCTAGCTTTTAGTCTAAATCGGCGAGAGTTGGCGCGCAGTTTCCAACAACTAATCATCATCGAGTTTTAGGAATGGAAACGGGAAGTAGGGGGATCGTGGATTTGAAGCTCAAGTCTCGACTGAATCAGAGAAGGGGTGTAGATTAATTATGTAGCCAGTGTTTATCAAATGATGGATGATATTTAAATGTCTGACATTCATTGAAGCCAAAGGAACTGGAGATGGTCTTCAATTACCTTTTTGCTTCTAATTAATCGAAAGAGGCTGGAGTTTGGTTTAGCTCGAAATGGAGCTCGTCAACTTGAACCTTGAATTAGAAAGGCTACTGGAAGTTAATAAGTGGATTCCCTTGCTGAAATTTGGTCAAGACTTGGAAGTTTTAAGCTTCGGAAACTAATATTAAAACTTCAACTTAAATTACTACTAGTCTTGAGTACAATAGACACTGAAAGAAAGAGGACATATGTTTTGGGTCAATTAGCAGTCTAAAAGTAACATTAATAATAATAGTAATACAAGGGAGAACATGTAGGAACTATACGTATATTTACATATAAGCAAGTTAACTAAATATTAAGTTAGTGGTGTCAATTTAGTTCTAATTGGGATGAAACAGTGACACCGTTAAACTTAGCTTGCAGAGGAAGGAGTCAAAGGGCTTAGCAATACGGTGAGTATTTCTCACTCTTTTCAAAAACTGGGAGTTAGGTATATATGTTTAAAGACACCGCACACATGACACGTTATATATGTTATTATTTTGTGATCAGCATATCGTTGACCCGATGATGTACTTTACCGTCCCGGAGTAAGTGTTACACGTATTATCGTATTTGATAGTATTTGGGCTATGTGTTTAAATAGTATTGACTGGTTATATGATTGACTGCAAGTATTAAATATATCGTGTTGAGATGAAGTGTTTAAATAAAATTCTTACCGATGGTGACATTACCTCGGGAGTTTGCAATGTTATCGTTAAATATATTGTACCCGGTGGTGTACTTCATCGCCCCGAAAAAGTATATTGCTTGTGAATGCAATCGTTGATGTGTACACACGCTCAGGTGATCTCGGTCGCCCTGGAGCATGGGCCCAGGCACTGGACAAGCAAGGAACGTGAGCCGGCATCGTATCGTAGGGGAAACTTGACGGAGTGACCTTTGTCGCGACAGGAGTAAGGTGAAGATTGAATTGTGAATTGTTATTGACATTGGATCGTTATCAATATCGTATTGGTGAAATCTGGCTTGGAATCTGTCTTTGTGCCACATAGGCTCTTTAATGGTCCTTGCTAAGATTTTCCTGTATCCACCCTATTGTTAATTGTTTAATGTGAAATAGTTGATTATTGAATGATTCTTTGTGAAATTGTTTTATATTTGAATATTGTTTTACACAAACAGTTTTATTAAAAAAAATATCGTAATAGTATAGTGAGAACTTCACTGAGTTCGGCGCTCACCCCCCTTTTATATTTTATCCTCTTATCCCACTCCAAGGTTTAGAACGGATCGGTGCAGATGAGTCCAAGAGAAGCAAGACTGAGTACAAGTGACGTTGTTATTGTTAGATTGCAATATGAGATGAGGTAAGTTTTAGTGAGAATATTAAGTGGATGTTTAAAATTTGTATTAATATAAAATGAATAAAAGTATCGCGCCTTGGGCGAGAGCCAGACGGCTTAACTCGTAACTAAGCATGATGTATAATAACAGATTGGTGAGTTGGGTCGTCACAGTAGATAATTCTTATGGAGGATAAAAAAAATCAAGGAAAAGCATGTAACTTGTTACTTGGGAGGAACTATGGTTTCAAAAGTTTGAGGAGGGATTAAACATACATGTTTATGGAACAAGGCTCCTATGGGGAAGCAAATATGGACATTGCAAAGAAAAAGGAGGCCTATGGAAGAAATGGGTTCATTTGTACTACAATAAATACAAGGAATTCTTGAATACCAACACCCTCAAGGTTGTAGTTCTAACTGTCGTGGCGGAAAGGTTATAAACATAACACACTACAGAAACAAATCCCAGAAACATCTCCTTTCCTACTACCAAAAAAATAGAACAACCAAACAAGCAGATAATAAAAGAACTTATAAAGTAGGCACGAATTCTATGTGAAAAAGCCAAATTGGGAAAAACTACGAAATTGTGACAACACTAAAATTTCCACTATCGCATTAATGGAAAAATAGTCTTCACCAACAGGTGAATACACAGAACTTTAGCCAAAGGTTAATTACAACAATACTCTTCCAAATAAACACTAGTAGCCCAAAGTAAGATTAGAAGGATCTCACAAAAAGAGAGCTAATCTGAAAACTAAACTAGAAGAATTGTAGATCTTGTTGAGAGGAATACACATGCAAACTTACACTAATAACTGTCTCTGTTTCATCACCTGATCAAAGTCTCAAAGTAAAACACTTTCTTCTCCCAAATTAAAGATCCCAAAACCTTAGCTTTCTTCCTCTCTTTTCTCTCTCTCGCACAAAACTAGTGCTTCTGGTGCTTGTCTTTGGTTGAACTCATGCACCAAAAGAAAACCAAAAGGACCAGGGTTTTATAACCCACGGCCAACATCAAAAACCAAATCAAATTTGGTCTTTTTTTTTTTTTTCTTTTCCTTCCGTCAAACAAAAAACAAACCCAACTTGGCCTTGTTTTTTGTCCTTCTTTTGTTGGCCCAATTAAGGAGAAAAACTGGCTCAACAATCTTCCCCTTCACCTCAATTAGGGGCTAAAACCAAACCCGCTTCCTGTTTGCAAACCATGAGCTTATCTCTATTCACAATCTTCCTCAACGTAATTGTTATCCGTATTGATCTTCTCAAGAAACAACGTCTTGGACTCTACCACATCTCAAATCCAATGATATGTTACATCAATATGTTTTGACCGCAAGAACTGTGGAATTATTTGCTAAATGAATGGCGATCTAGCTATCATAGGTAAACCACATAACTCTCATACTTCATGCCAAGCTCTTATAATAACTTCTGCAACCAAAGTATTTCTTTACAAGATTCTGTAGTTACGATAAGCTATATCTCTGTAATAGACAACGCAACACACTTGTACAATCTACTTTGCTATGAAACCCTAAACGGCCAAGAAATCGTGCCAAAAAGGGACATTCCCTCTTTATATTAACTATATATATATATATATATATATCTTAACCGCCCGATAAGAAGTCCTTTTATCTTTTTTATTTCTTTTAGGGCGAACTACATTTTACTCCCAAGTTATGGCCTCATAACAAACACAACCCTGAGTTTTAGTCATACTACAATTACCCCCTTTGACAGGGTTAAACATAAAGTTAAGCCGGAAAATCGTAAAATGTCCAAAAACCCACGGCGGTTGTCGGCCAGAAAATCTTCTAAAAAATGATTTTTTCAGAGACAAAAGTATCTCTGTTCTCAAACAAATTATTATCCAAAATAATCAAATTTTTATAAGTAATAAGTACTCCTCTAAAGAATCCGACCATCACAGTTCGTCATCTTCTCAAATCCTGCGCTATTACCATCTTTTCCCTCTCTACAAATGGGTTTGGGTTGGGCACCTACCTTCTCAAGGAAACACAGATGACATTAATTAACAACTCAAATGATAGTAAAGAGAACAAAATTGTGTAATGTTTTCTTTTCCACCCAGATCTGTTACAAATTATGACCTAACCCCTCTTCAACCCACCGCAGATCCGCCGCTCCTCGTTCTTGCCACAAGCCCACTACGGTTACTTTTTGTGGCTATTCAGGCAGGAGTGAGCCTGTGATGGAGATGTGCCAAAGTAGGGTAATTGTATGAAACTGAGAGTATACCTCTTTTTGATTTTGCAGCAAATAAACCAAAAGGGGCAAAAAAAAAAAGAGAAAAAAGAAAAAATAGAATCAAAGGTTTCTCCCCTAATTTGGCTGTAATTTGTATTTTAATTTTTCTTTCGTGAATTGTTGCCCATGGAAGATGAATTTGACTCATCCACTTTGGTTTTTTCCCTTCTTTTTGTTGGTTTTAGGTTCTGGTGTTGGCAGCATTGGTGGAGCAATCTTGGGTGTTCTACACGGTGACGGAAATTTCTTGAAAATTAAGATTTTACTAGATTAAAAAAGAAAATTAAAAAAGAAAATGAAAGAAAAATGAAACATAGCTGAAATAAAAAATGATAAATAAATATAATAAATGGATAAAAAAGAAAATGGTATTTTGTAGATGATTTTAAAGAAAAAAAAATGGACACAAAATCAAAACGAACATAGTCTCTAAAGCCAAAAAAAAAAAAACCACACCATTCTGATGTTTGAAAAGTTTTATAATGTTAAAGGGATGTGGGGTACAAAAATTATGAATCAAATATGGAAGGGTAAATTTGTCCATTCGAACAACTAATTCGATGACATCAGCATGAGGAACCCATTTTCTGAATTTGTAAGCTGACCAAGGGTCAAGGGGGGTATTTGTAGTACCACCAAACCTCAGGGTTGTGTTTGTTATGAGGCCATAACTCGGGGGAGGAAATGTAGTTTGCCCTTCCTTTTTTATTTTCTTCTTGTTCTTGTTGGTTCACAGTTCGAACTTGGCAGCTTCTGCACTGAACCAATCCAATCCGTACTTGATCGTCGTTTGCTCTTCCAGATTCTCAAGTCGTAGGTAGGTCTTCGAATTTAACAGCTTACTTAATCTCTTATTTGAATTAATCTTTCCGTCTCTTTTTTCTATCTCTTTTTTCTTTTAATTAAATCATGGATTTGAAATTGGATAATTTTCTGTAATTGTTTGTATGTAAGTGTTAAATTTGTGTGCTAAAAATTTCTTTGATGTTGTTTCACTCGAGCTTAGGCTGTAAATGAGCTAGTTTACTCAGTTTTTGATTAAAGAATTTACATCATTATTATTGCTGAGGGAAAAAAAATTTCTGCCATAGTTTTGCTCTCAGCTCTCTTTGGGCATGCTTTAAAAGGATTACCATGGTCACCAGGTTTTAGCGTTTAAGTTCACAGTTGGTTATTTTTACTTGCATTTGTTTTTGGTTTGGTTTTAGCTTTTAGAAATGTTATTCCTTATTATGGCTTATATAGAGACAAATGTAATTTTGGAGCACTGTTTGGTTTTGCCTTGTTTAAGCTGATGGATATTTTTTTGCTTTGGTTTAGGGGTTTTAGCTTGCCGTTTTCATTATGGAAGAGTCAGAAAAGAGGAGAGAAAGGCTGAAAGCGATGCGAATGGAAGCTGCTCAGGGTAGGGATAAAACTGATGCTGAAGGGTATTCTGTGGGTGCATCTAACAGTCTTGGCAACCCATTGGCTGAAGCCCCAGTGGCTCCGTCTGTGCATGGCGAGCCAAGTGTAGCTCGTAGATTTGACTTTTACACCGACCCTATGTCGGCATTCTCAGGAAACAAGAGCCAGGGCAAGGTCAGCCATCAAAATTCACCAGACTATTTGACGGCTCCAAGTAATAACGTATTCTTAAACTTTAAATTATGTCATATAAATGGATTAAGAATGAAAACTGGTGTATCATTTGCAATTTGGTGGATATTACTTTCCTCTGTGGTCTTATGTGTTAAAGGTAGTTTAGGATGTATGATCATCAGTCACAGAATCTGGTAGTTCTTGTGCATATATTTTGAGGTTTTCGGTATGTTTGGAGGGTTATGGTGGTCCACAGATGGCTGTCTCTTTTCATTTTTATCAAAATCGAATAAAAATACCAACTAGTCTTATGAATAGATAGCTCAAGAATGATGTTCATAACTATGATTTTGAATGTATGTGTAATTTATTGTCAAATCTTCTTCATCTCTCTCTCTAAAAAGTTGTTAGCTTCTTTTTGCCGTCAAAGAGTTGTTACTCTTTGTCTCTGTATATTCTATGGCCCTTTCTGTCGTAACTCTTCATATGTGTTTGCATATAGAGGGAACATTTAAAGTTTGATAATTTTATTTTCAAATTTTCACCCTAACATCTCGATTTACAGGACCGAGGAATGTTGACAGTTTTCCAGCCTATCAGAACCAAGCCATGTATCCTCCGGATCCGAGAATGTTCCAAGCCCCTGGATTCCATCGCAACCCCTGCCCTTCTGGACCCTCAAGAGGGCCGCCAAGTACATTTGGCATATCACAACAAGATAACATGAATGTTGCACCTGGAACCTATGGCTTCCCGTCCAATATGTCCAGAGGTGGTCATTTTCCAAGGCCCGACTTTGTTCCAAGAGGTAGTCCTAGTTTCAATTATGGTGAAAGCAGAGGGTATGGAATCAACAATAGTCCCCAGACTGGGTTTGGTAACTGGAGTAGGCCATATCCTCATCCAGGAAGAGGCAGAACCCAGTGGTATGGTGGTAATAATTCTCAAACTGGGTCTTCTGGCCCTTACCATCAGTCCGGAAGAGGTAGAGGTTATAGGCAGGGGAACAACAATTCAGGTTCAATGCATACTGGTAGGAGAACAAGCTCTCATGAGAATGTGTCTGCTGAGATAAGACCTGATTTATATTATGATAAATCCATGGTAGAAGACCCATGGGAGACACTAAAACCTGTTGTTCGGAGAAGAGGTGGTCGTACAAGTTTGGAGAAACCTAACTCCCCAGAATCATGGGTGCCAAAATCCATTACTTCCAAGAAAGCCAGAGTTTCAGAAGCATCAACAACGTATTCTGATGGCAAAAGTTTAGCCGAAGAGCTAGCTGCCTCGTTCCATGCAGCAGCAGCTTACGAACCTCATGATGATAATGCTTAACAACTTTTGAATTTACTGGGGCAGTTATTGTTAGGAATTTTTTATCGGGTGTTCTCCACGGAACAGTTTTCCTTGGGACGGTTAATGTGATACGGAAAATTGTATTGCTTATGTTTTTTGGTAATGTGTAGCTTAGGGCAACATCTTAATTGTTAATTTTAGTTGGATTGAAGGGATTAAAACATCAAGCTTTGAGCTTAAGGTTCTTTTTCTTCCTTCTTCATATTTGAGTAACAAAGCTTTTCCTCACCGGATTTGTAAGAGCAAATCACGTGTATATCAATGATACAGTAATACAGTAGAACATATCCATACATTTGCAAAGAGAATTGGATGGGCAAATAAACCAGAGTTGTCGCAATTCTACCTGAACGGAAACTGCTAATTGATGTTTTTTAAACCCGTTTGCCTAAGCAAATGATTTTATTACGCAAAGCAGTTGCTAATTCTATTATGACGCACAACAGTTGTTTCTTTTTCCCATTCAACTCAATGCTGCTGCAGAGAGTAGAATCAATCCTAAACAACAACAATCAATATCAATTTCAAATGATACTTAAGCCCTCCACAAATTTTCTACACACTGTTTTGTAAGTTGTCAGGATATGATCGGGCAATACATAGGGCATCAAACTATTTGTTAAACTACTCGAGGGATTTGCCTTACTAGATAATGCCAATGATTGTTAAATAATAAATTTAGATTGATTCAGGGCATATAAATAAGATCTCTTTGGCGCTAAAGGGAGCTAGTGCCACAACCTAGAGCAAAATCTGGGTGGACAAGCCAGCTTCTGCTCGTTGCAGATTTCATCCTTGAAAGTATGAAGAAGCTGCCCAGCCAAGCTATCTGGATCATTAGAGAATGTGTCTATGAAAACACTGACAACCCTTTTCTCTTGCAACGTTGCTTTCAAGCTAAACCAGGTAAGAAACTTCACCCTGAAATCAGATCCTAGGTGTCCTTCATGCTCCAATTTTCTAATGACTCTCACAGCATACTCATAATCAGTCTCCTTCAACTGCCTCTGGATACCTAGATGTGGCACTCCCTGAGTTCCATCAGATTTACATGGCGTTGAAGGAGCATTAGAAGTGGGACTTGCTAAAGAAACATGCTTCTCGGGAATAGGCAATGTAGGTGACTGTTCATGTTTGTTTCTAGAGTCATCAAATGATGGTTCCTTTGATAGATCATCACTGAGAGCAACTTTGCTGTCACTAGAACTCATTGACTCTGTCCTCGTCTGAGCATGGGGATTAAGTGCATTCGCATTTTCTCTCACTGCTACGTGATCCACCGGTAGTTCAAGAGTTTTCCAGTTAGCTTCCCAAACCCCCAAAGCTCCATTTTTGTTGAAGAAAGAAACTTTGCAGAAATACTCAGTTGATGGATCGAGATCACACAATTCAAATCTATTTACAGGCCCAGGTACATCATAAGTTGGTTTCGCAGGATAGTTCATTCTAGATTTTCGATGCCAAATTCTGCAGCCTAATAGATCCTTGAACATATGATCTTCATACTCCAAGATAATGGCTACTTTAGTCGGAGATGATGCCTCAAAGTGTACTTTGCATTCTGTCAGTTTCATCATTCCAAAAGAAAAGAAGAAAGAAAAAAACAGCAGTGAGTTAGTCCATTTCTTTATTATCATGACAGATCAAGTTCTTTGGTTGTACCAATTTGCTGATATTAGAGACACAAGAAGAGACATATAGTGTCATTTTCATTTGACAATCATACGTCTCAATATGCAATTAACATGGTGGAAAGATTATTATCATTTATGTTCATTGCTTATTTGGAAGACACTGAAAACAGTAGAGCATATGAACCATACATAATGAAGCCGAGGACCTCACCTGGTGATTCTTGTTTATCTATTTGATTGAAATTTTGACCAACCACCATGGAATCAAAGGCTTCTATAGCAGATGCACATAACTTCTGAACCTCAGCACCACAAGAGAGCCTATTAACAATTCTTCGATCCATAGTTGCCGATGCCTGATGAAGAGGCCCCACTTCATTAGCAAGAGCTGTCATGGCAGATTTGACAATTTTCCGCAATCTCTCAAATTTATGACTTCCAACCAAAATTTTGTAGCTTAGGGATAGTCTTTGACTCAGCACATCAACCCTTCTTGCCTCTGTAGCAGCAACCAATTGCTTTCTCCAGGTCCTGAAAAAAAAAAATTAATATAAATAAGTTCAGTCAGATGTGTCAACCACTTCTTACCTAGTTATCACTCAACCAAAGCAAGTTTACTTGCAAGCAAGGACAGAGATGGTGAAATTAGAATGTGAAGAAGAAAACTGATCATATAAAACTTTTATCGCTTTTGACACAAAACTATATGAGGTAGAATTCCCTTATTTTCTAAACAACAGAACTTTTCTGTTTTCAGCTATTGCACGAAATATCAGATTCAATTCAGATCATGCTGCATATCCATTGACATCTGTGGATTTCATAGGTTTGGTGAACACGATACTTACAAATTTGGACAGCATGTAAAAGGATTATGAGTTACAAGAGAGGATATTACCTCATCACACCATAAGGCTTTCTGCAAGAATTACAACAGAAAATGTCATCTGGATCTCCAGAGGAATCTTTTTTTAAAGCGCCACGCGGTTTTTGCTCAAGAGCACATTTCAGATGGCATGATATTCCACAAGGCTCGTCTTTCTCCGGAGAATTATTATCACAAGTCAACCACAGACTAGGATCCTTGTTTTCATCATACTGATGACAGATGCAGCAAGAACATCTTTTGCAAAACATATCATCTGCATCTAGAGAAGCTCTGCATGCTAAGTTGGGACATAGTACAAGTTCTTGGTCTGTCCTCACTGGTTCCCCCTGAGAATTGTTAGATTCAACAGGTAGCTGAGATAGATATCTGTTCTTCTGCTGCTTATTTAACCTTTTTTCATCTTGCACTGGTGAAACAGGAGGTAGCTCATTGGCAGTTTCCTTGTTCTTGGAAACTAACTTTAGAAGGTACTCTATCATTTTGGGTTTAGTATATCCATAAATCTTGCGCTCCTTGCTTTCAGCATAAATTAACTCTTCAAGTTCTTTCTTTTTGAATGACTTGAGGACAGTTGGAGCGTCCTTTAAGCATTGAGCGATTTCATGAACCATTTGCCTTCTCTCTTCCAAGCTCAATCCATCACTACTCGCAGAGTGATGTAAGAGACCTGCAAATTGAAAAGTAAGACTTGCAAGTGAAACAGTTCTAAGGGACTCCGCTATCTGACGTAACACTTAACGCTAAACCAATTTTTGAAATAATATCCTTCCTACAGTTCATACATATTTGCGCTAGTACAGTCATTTCTGATTCAGTTCAATCCACACGACAAACTTCAAAGATTATGCGCCACATAACTCTCCTACTCCAAATCATTTTGCATTGCTGTACTTGCATCACAATATAGGCATATTCTTCCACTTAATGTTGATACCAAAAACAAGAACCATGGAATAGACTTCTATACTTGTTCTAACATCACACGGAATTGGCACATCTTCAAAATGTAACTCATTCATACATGCACAATTTGCACATCAAGTAAATGTATGAATAAACCACGCTTTAACTACGGAAGTAACCACAAGTGTATTATGTGTAAGGCATGGGCAAAAGAAGACTCGGGTGTGAATGCATGCCTTCAACAACTGTTGCATAGAAAATCAGGGATCGGACAACAGCCCGGCTAAAAGCAGCAGCAAATAGGAAACATTAGGGAAGACAGAATCAACAAAAAGAAGTGCAGTAGAAAATAAAAAACAGGAATCACTATCTACAATGCTGTCCAAAAAGTTATCCTCTTTACTAAAAAACTCAGGGAGAAAATGTCAAACGAAAGCAATGCATAATACTAGTCACCACCAAACCTACATTGCTCCAAAGGGCTTACCAAAATAATCCACAAAATTCTGAAAAATAAAACTGAAAACCACAACCAAAACTCCAGAGCATAATCAAAATATTAAAATCAACAACTAAAATGTAGGTACTCGAGAAAGAAACATCATAATCTACAACCCTCGAAACAACGATTTCAATAACCCATTATCAAACAGAAAAAGAATACCTGATGCCACGGAATTAATGCCGGAAACCCTTTTACCCTCTGGTTTCCTCATCCTTCAACCCACCAAAAACAAACCCCCAAAACTTGAAATTAGACAAAACCCAGAATGCAGGTGTCAAAAATCACACAATAGCAAAAGAACAGGAACACTATCAAAAAAACAAAATGTAGAAATTTTTTATAAAAAAAAAAAAGGAAAAAGAAAGGAACTTTTTGTCTTTTTGTACTAGAAGCAGAAAGGGAAGAGGCGGAGGAAGAAGAATATAGAAAAGAGTGGCATTGGATTCATAGAAAGAAAAAGTGAGTTTTAGGGTGGCAGTGGGTTTTTTTTCTGGGCAAAGAAGAAGGAAAAGATTACGTACAAAAAGAGGAGTGTACCACAACTACTGTAGACCCTGGTGCACTGAATTATCGAATCAGGAGGAGTAGTTGTCCAGTTTGATTCCTGCTTCGCGATGGTTTGATGAAGACAATTAGTACAACAAAAAATAAATAAGTAATAAATTTTTTAAAAAAAAAACCGAAAAGACACCATTTTTATTTCAAAACTAGGCTTTGATGTGGTGCGTTTACCAGTATTTTTGTTACATTTTTATACATCGTTCGTAATTTAGAACATTTGCGATAGTTAAATTTCGGTAACACATGCAAAGGTTAATTTTGGTAAAAAGTGTAACAATTCAATTTTCTATTTTGTAATTTTTAGCACATTGTGTCTCTTTCTGTAATTGAATCATCTTATAGTTCAATTGTAATTCCAAGATCATCCGGTGCACATCCAGAAATTGTTATTCCAAAGTAAATACCTGTAAAACAAAATCATATAACATATAAATCTAAATCCATCACTTCAATGAAATCACTACCATGGTGGATGAAATGTATTAGAAAATATGAATAACAATTTCTTGTACCAAAATATGACATCGTGGATATTATACCAAAATGAGAGGATCATGTAAATATCGCATGCATTATAATATAAGAATTTATACATAAATCGGTACTTATTGTTATTTAGTGACATGGGTCGGATTGTTCTTAACAAATATGATAACTTTGTTTCGTGAAGAAATGTTTTAATGAGCGCGATGAACAAAATACATGAATGCACGTCAAATGTAGCATCTCACTGAGTAATTAGTATTTAAAAAACTGGGAGTATTCACTATACGTGTAATAAATCAAAATGAAAAAAAAAATTTACTGTACATTGAACGAAAGATACTTTCAAAGCAGCATTCTTGGAAGAAAAGCCCAAAAATTCTTGTCATCAAAAAGGCAGGACCAACTGGTCCGGGGGAATGGTCACTATAAGGAGTTTGTTACTTCTGTTTCCTGATTCTTTGTTTCAGATCCCAGAAGTTTATGAAATGATATGAACTTTTTCTTTGCGTTTTGATCAGTTTAGCTCGGCAATAGATCTAATGACTATGGAAGAAAGGTCTAAGAGGTAAAACGCTGAGAAACATAGAAAAGATTAAAAGGTTATTTTATTTTTACTATTGAAGAATGCATAGAAAGTGACTTTTCCTTGAGTTTCAGGGAATGAAAGAAACTGAATACATCTCAAAACATTATGACTCAGCCTAATCCTTAAAGCTATCAAACAATAGATTAGTTATCCTACCCCAAATCTTTCATCAATTAACTTGGGAAACCATTGATCACCATATACTTTCTTCGTTCTACATATATGAATTATGAAAAGAATACTATAGAATAAAGAATATGAATACAATCCAATAATGGATTGAGGCCAATGCATCATTTTGCCAATTGTTATTGATTAAGGTACTATCTATCCTGCTCTATGCACAGTTGATCAATCCATGATGGCATAATGTCATTGAACCCTCCATTACGCTTCTGCTCTGAGCTAAATAGTTGAACGTCTTTCACCAAGTAATTGACCCAAGAAACATCAGGTTCATCTATATTTGGAGTCTTACTACTTGTTGCGGCAAAGCAGAATTACTGTTGTCGCAATACGCAAACGATGTTGACTTCCCAACTTGACTATACCTAAAAGTTGACATAGAGCAGCAAAAATGAGTGGTGGTACAGAAGTTCATTGCCAAATCTGTCCAGATTATGCTTGAGATTTTCTTGTGTACAGTTAAAATAAAATTCACAAGAAAAAAACTTAACTCTTAATATAAATTAAATTTGAAAATCAAGGCATCCACATCACAAACTGCAAAACCTATTCACTATATCAAAATGAGTTACACATATCAAATGCCAAGGAAATAACTAAAACTCTGTCATCTTGCGTATGATCTTAAAACTCTTACCTTGTGCAAGGTAGTTGAAAGCTTCCAAGTTCCATCCAGTGAAATTTTCAGTAGCTATTTTAGTAGACAAAATGCCATTCCAGAAATGGTACAAGGCCATAATTTTCTTAATATATTCCGTAAATTGAGACCTTCATTAAGGGAATCAAACGACGTATATTAGTCTTTGGTCAGAAGAATAGCAATTGGTTCGTTAACCTCTTCAACTACCGTCCCAATACCAATGACCCATCTATAAAATTAAAACTTCGTTAGAAATAAGGGCTCACGAGTCACAACTACACACAGATATGCTGCACACAAGCATTGATTGAAGACAACATTATTAGCCAGACCTCTCAATAGCAGCTCAGTCAAATTTGAGCAAGAGAGCAAGAACAAATTAAATTAATCAATTCCAACTATCATGTTTGACCCAAAGAGAAAAGTTGTAATCAAGCAAACCAAAACAAAACCCAAGATAAAATCAACATATGCACCTAGATTTTTGAAAGGAGATTACAAAACGAAGTTCAAAGAGAACCAAAAGCATGGAAGAATCGAATAGATGTTCGCAGAGCGAATCATTTGCAAGGGATAAATGTTTTAGACATGGATTTTCCTCTTATCATTGTGCAGAATAATGTATTAGTAGGCGACTGATCAACGATGTTAACTTTAGCAGTTCACCATCGTTAAGGCTTGAAAATTACTTCTTTCTTATAAATAGTTATTCATAAATGTTAACTCTACATCTCTATCCATTTAATTCTTATCCCACTGATAAAAACAACTTAGAAAGAAATTACTCCACTTCAGCAAAATTCCAACATATAGGAAACATCTCACCCAACTAAGATCAACCTCTAAGAACCCTTAGATTAATTCCAAGGGAAATTACTCCGCTTCAGAAAAATTCCAACATATAACAATGAACATAAGATAAGCCACAAAGTATGTTTGAACACGGGAATAATAAAAGCAAAAAAAGAGAGAAAGGGGGAAAACCTGATTGAGATTGTTCTCACGAAGAAAATGTGCTTGCTTGAAGTGAACGGAGGAAACTTACTTGAGTGAAAAAGAAGACGGTGCGTGCCACATAAGCCCATATACTGCCAATTCATAGCTTTCTAATAATCCTAATAAATTTGGTTATCTTTGTAATACAAAAGTATGAGAATTCATAATGAAGGAACAAAAATATTACCGCTTGCTAAAGTTGAAAAGCTCTGCCTCTAGCTTCAATGGGAACACTAATATGCTAATAGCTTCACTCAGATTTTGTGCTGGTCAAGTTCTTCCTTTTCTACTATGCAATTAAAATTTAAGCTAATTATTGAAGTCGAGAATTGAATGACAGCTTAGTGATTAGGTTGCTGTCTTTCCTGGTAATAGATCAGGGTTCGATTCCCACCAGGGGTTTTAAGGGGGGTTTTACTCACATTTAAGTAGGGTCCACTTGGGTGAATTTTTTTTTTTTAAAAAAAACTAATTATTAAAGTCCATCCTAAGCATCGAAACAAACTACGAAGAGATAACTCATGGCTTCTGCAAGCAATTGACAAAAAAGCATCAATTGACAAAAAAAGCATGAAAATTAACATGGAGAGAATCTCAAATGAACTATATATTTAATTGTACTTCAATCAGAATACAAATTTAATAAAAATCAACTTAAAACTAACCTGAACATAGCGGCAGCAGATCTCTGATGACGAGGCTCCACCACCACCACCACCGGTTGTCGATGCTCCACCACCACTGGCTGTGAGGAAAACAAACACCAGGAAGTCCAATTAGGGATGAGATCTTGAAGGCTTCGAGTTGTCAGCCGCGTTGAACTTCTCGCCGGAAATTAGGAAATTGTTTTTCTATAACCCTAATACAAATCAGGATGGAATTCCAACTCGCCGACAACCATCACCACCAACACCTCAACCGCACGATCAACTTCGAATCCAAAGTCTGGATTTTGATTTGGATGCCACGGGAAGCCGTGGAGCTGATTGGGTCGTGACGGATGGGGGAGGGCGATAACGGTGGTAATAATGATTGTAAAAATTCAGTTTATTTTTATAAGTTCTTTTAAAGCTTAAAACGACGTTTTTTTGGAAGGCAAGGGTTTTTTCCAAAAGCTTTACGGATTTTATGTCCAAAAAATGACATTATCCAAAACGACGTCGTTTTGTAGGTTGGGATTTTTTCCCCAAAATCCAACGGAATTTTTAAATTGAAATTTATGAAGTCCCGTTTATACCCCTAATAAGTCGCTGACGTCATATCAACCCCATCCGACGGACAAGATTGCTTTGAAGGTGGCCCTGAATATTTCTTGGGCATGTACTAGGCTTGTCTTTGTCGCGCGTTGCACGACCAGTTTGTATTATATAATTATTATATTGTGTTCATAACTAAAAAGTAATGCTACAGAGAAAGTATAAAAATAGTTTGTTTTATTGAATTCTATGTCAATAATTTGAATTACAATTACTTAATCTTTTTATTATTATTATGGAATATAGCTTGTTTTTTAATTTTTGACTTTACTTTGTATTCTATTCGTTTCTTTAGTCGATAAGACTATTTGTATTCACCAAATCGGGAAGAAGTAAAAGGTAGTACTCGAGTTTTATGAATTTCTGTATTAGGAGCTCATAAATTAGGATTGGTTGCTACAAAAGAATCAAAGTAGTAGCCTTAAGAGGCGAAGAAGCCTTGTTTTCTCGGGTAAAGTGAGCTTGGAATGAACAACTTTCCTATTATTTTGGGTTTGTCT